TAGAATTTGTTGAAAATTGTAACTAAAAATGAATATATAAATGGAGGTGGAAACAATGCTCTCGCTGAAGAGTAGAAGGGTAAACACGTTTTACAAGCTCACATTTCAGGAAAAAGTCAATGACCAAAAGAAGTATTGACCAAAGGTGGGATAGCACTTACAAAGTTTTGTATATATTTAAACAGGTACCCAGTTCACAGCAAATGAAAAATCACAGACCTTGAGAGATCTAGTTCAACCCTTTTTCCAAGGAAGGAAGCTGTCCCTACAACGTTCCTGGCCAGGATTTGTCAACCTTTTCTAAAAGTACTCTGTTGATGGAAATCAAGCTTTTTCATGGGCTGTTTCACTATTCTCACCAAAAGAAAGATTTCACCCATTATTTCTCATCCTGTCACCAAAGGAATTTATTCACTTCCTCTGTGCAATTACCTTAAAATTACTTGAACGCTATTTTCACCTCTCACCACCAGTCTTCTCTACACTAAGAAAACTGAGTTCCTTCAGTCTTTTTTCATAGATCACAATTTCTAGACACAGAATGTCAATAAGCATGAAGTCAATGCCAAAGGGACAGAGGGATCTTGGATCTTTTTCAGAAGAGCTCTAAGAGCACTGTGTCTAGGTGCTGGTTTTTGTCTATTTTGTCTGAAGCTCCAGAAACTTCATGAGTCTTTTTTTTTTTTCTTCTTTAATAACTGTCTCTTTTCTAAAAGAACCTCAGATTCCCTACAAGATGTCCTGAGTAATATAGTTCAGTTTGAATGGTATCTAGAGAATGAAAAACAGCATCAACGTCAGGTTTATAATAAGGTGAGAACAGGGAGACTTCCTGATCAGTATAGGAGGTCTCTTTGAGGAGAAATGTGAGAGTGCATGACTGACTACTTTGCTAGGGAAATGGCAGTATAGCGCGCCAAAGTATTGATGCTATGAGATATGGAGTAGAAAAAGGAAATTTTACCTCATTATGTAAGGGGAATTTTGTTGGGAGCCCTCATAATATGTGTATAATTCCTGCAAAAAGCTTCCTGATGACTGGCTTGTGATGATACAATCCATAGCGAATAAGGTGCAAAGATGAAAAGCAAGATAGCTGCATGGTCTAATTATGAATAAGGTTATAAAAATGGATTCTAGTCTTCAGAAAAGAGTTACAGCCAAGATGGAAGTTTTAGGTTACCAACCAACTTAAAATACAGGTTCACTTTCCAGCTTTACCATAGACTGCTGGTCTGATTTTAAGGTGAATAAACTACTTCTGTGCCTTAGTTTTCCATTTGTAATGACTCACCATGAGTCAGGAGTGGATGACTCAGAGGTTATGGACATTACAGCTCCTATGGATTGAAATGAGAGCCAGCTTGATAGGTACCTGTATGGTGTTTCCCAGAATATACGGGAGCCCTGAAGACTAGCAGTACATGTGCAGTGCAGTTCATGCAAATCTGCTATAATTTCCTTTTTGCCTGAGGCTGGCTCCAGCATCCATATTGTTACAACCTTTAAACATCTGAAAAATGAAAATTATAATACTTCTTTCTCTGATTCATTTATTCTGTGACGTTCTTCAGGCAATTAAATGAGCTACAGTTACAGTATTTGTATTTTGCATGGAACGTAGTATAGCGGGTCTTCTGGCACAACTGTAGTACAGTGTATAGCTGTAGTTGTAAAAACATATAATTGACTTAGTTTGCAATAAGCTTTGTGGCATTCTAATGTACAAACTGGGTTCTCTTAAATTACTGTCTATCCCCATTACCTCTTGCTGCTGAGTTTTGACATGCCCTCTGCCAACTCTGCAATTCCATAAGAATTTCAAATGTTGTGATTTAACTTAGGTATCTTCATCTAACTAAAGCAACCATAATCATCTAGATACCACTATACTTCCTTCCTAAGAGCTCAAAAATGTAATTGAGAGATGAATATTCTGCAAAGATCCCATTGCTTCTATTTGCCTAATAACTTATACCTCTCAGTATCTACCATGTGGTTCACAACTTTACAAAGCCAAAAAAACCAGATGGTCTGAATTCCCTTTTTCATACTCTCTCCCTATTACACATATCAGCGAGAATCTCTTCCTGAATACAGACTCTCCCTCTGAAGCACTGACGTGTTAAAGAAAATTTGTATAGTACCTGCTTGTGTCAGACTTACCAAGTGCCTCCAGTTTTAGTCCATTACTCCAAAATCTCTTATCATTAGTTATCTATCATTTGCATTAAATACAAGATGAAATTGAAAGCCATCCAAATATAAAAATAAAACATTAATTTTTGGAAACTGGATGTAAAATTAAATTTTGCAGCATGCATCATCCCAACTAGCTATTTAATTAGGCTAATTCATAACACATATGTCCTTGCTTGTGAACATACATGTATGAATGGTACTAAACAGATAAGTAATTGGCCAAACATTTGTTAAATTTACCTCTTTTAGATCTAAAGCTACAGCACAGCGATCTCCACTGTTAGCAGGAAGGTGTGTGTTTTCTTTCTACACCACTGGGTGATAGATGGCAGACCCACATGTACAACCGCTCCTGCTGAGTTACAAAATGCTACTCTATCATTATGGTCTTGGTGTCCAGGCTTCCCAGCAGGTCTGTAAGAAAGTGCATCATGGTTAGTTATAGATTACCATAAACCAAAACTGATTTCTGAATAATTCAACTTTTAATATTAACTTTGCAGCTGAAACCATTTCCCAATATGAGATGGAATAAAAAATACAGGTAGCATTGACCTCTAATTGCATTAAGATTGGATTTAAGTTATTTCTTACAATGATGCATTCCTGAGCTTCCAGTAGCTGTGTGAGTGACCTCTAATCTCTCTAACGCAAATAAAAGAACGCTTCTTACTTGGCATTGTAGAAAAAACTACATACAGCAGCACTGCCATCTTCTGCTTGCTTTCTTTCATGCATGCAAGTACTAGGTTTATATTGCAAAGCAACAACAGGGAAAGTGCATTTTTCTACTTGTAGGTATTTGAGGCAATAACATTTTCTAATACTCAGGGATAACGTATGTCTGGAGTTCCACAGATGTGGAGGGTTTTCACGTGAACTTTTTCTGGTTCAATATCTGGTTCGATCATTTCAGTCAATAGAAAAGAATTTCAGACATTTGTCCAAGATTTCTAATATATCATATCCCAGCCAGAGCAATAGCTCAAAAATCCCAGGCAAATGTGTACATTTGTGTATTTGTGCTGTCCACAAGGAATATATTATACCTGTTGAATATGCGCCATAGAGTTATCTGTACACAAATGTACACATTTGAACAGATCTAACATATTCCTTGTGGTCTGCATGAGTACAGCAAGTCCAAAGCATAAATGATCCATGTGCACAGGACTAATTCAATGCAGTTGGGGTATATTTGATCATATGCAAGCATTTGTGTGGTCCTTATGCAGTAGGTCCAACATGTCCCAGACGTATCACATATGCTCTTGATCTGAAGTTTCCTGGATGTGCTGTACATCAGCACTTAAGCAAGATAGAAAGCTGGAAGCCCCACTTCAGATACTTTCTTTCAAAAGGTGAAGGTACAGTAAATTATATTTTTCTGAACTTTTCTGAAGTTGCCAGCAAAAGGCACATTGAGCCTGTATGGCTCCACGGACCCCCCACACGTCAAGGAAGCGGCTCTGTATAAGTTTGCCATACGGTACCAGACGATGCATTGTTGGATGGAGCTTTTGGCATAAACATTAGTTATGAGTTTGATTGTATCAGAAAAACTGAAAAGGGAAAGAATTTCATTGTATGACTTTATCCTATTGGGACATGTCCTTGGGATTTTTCACCCCATGGAGGCACAGAGTGACACTGGCAGTTACGAGCCTTCCTCTTCCACGTAGTAATGTATAAAATGGCAAGTGAACAAGTCTTAATTGTTTTTTCTTCTTAGAATATTGTAGTTAGATAGTCTCTGCTTTACTCAAGACTTTGATAGACTGAGTTGCACTGATAACTAATCTTTCACCTTTCCCTGATAATAAATGTGATAATACTGATGCATGTAAAGGGGTGTCTATCTTTACAAAAGCATGAGACCGTAAATGAGGTGAGCAGGTGTATTCCCAGAATACACAGTTGGAATCACAGTAATATCATGGTATCGGTTTATTGTTCATCATTAGCTGGGCGAGGACAGCTTATGCTTCTGAGAATATTCATATGCATCACAATCCCTGGTGCAGGGTCCCTTGCGTGCGTGCTCACTGAACTCTCTCTGCTGTGCTGATGTATTATGGACCCTATAGACCAAACCTGATCCTGCTTAGTGATTCAGTTCTGGTACCAACATCATCACTAACTTGATCACACATTGCTGCAGACTCAGCTTGTTGCCACTATTGTTGCTAGTTGAACCCAGCCATGTCCATCCCACAAATTGCTACATGCTGGGCTCAGAAATGCCAGAGGACAAGATGCTTTTGCTTCTGGCTTGGGATAAAGCTTTTAAGACTCTAGGACAGAGGTTTCTACTAGATTGTTCTTGAACCTGGAAAGCTTCCCAAACCAGAATCTACTGTGAGTCATACAGGATGATCCAACTGCTCTTGGTTACTTGAATTCCTTTCTTGGACACAGTCGCAGTCAATACACAGAGGACGGACAATTCCATCCAAAGCAACAAAATATGGAATGATGGGTAAGGCACATAGTAGTGAATGTAAATTATGATTGCCTAAGATAGATTTTCACTTCCCACAGAAGCACAAAGTTTCATTATTCTCATTCTTCTCTCTTTTGGACCCATATTTATTGTTAAGAACTAATGAAGACATTAGCAGGTACTGAAGAACAGTCTCTGTTGCTTACTAGCCCAAATCTCTGGGGGGTAAAAAGGTAAGAGAAGTTACTAGAAATCCATTTTGTCAGTGAGATCTCGGTTCACACTCAGTTAATTGGCCTGTTTTGCAGGATTTAACCTGGTGGCATAAGAACCTTGAAATAAATCTCTTAGCTACGATTAGAGATGAGAGAGATTAGCACGGGCAGGAGAGTTGAAGTCTTTTTCTCCATCTCCATTGGTGAGTCAGTGTAAAGACAGAAGAACTACACAAACATCAAGAAATCAGTACTTCACTCTTCCTCAGGATGCCTGATCCAGGTATTTTCTCCCCTGTACTCAGCAAGTTACCAGTTTTGAGATCTTGTTCAGTCCTCTGAAGCAGGTTAGTGGTTTCTTTTATAATAAGTCAAGATAGGAATGTGTGTTTAGGTAAAATGGCAGATTTTAGTGAACTTGGTGAGATAAGATTTGTTTATGGTTTGTTTATGACAAAACTGCAAGCCAAATTTCTTTGGACAATTTGCATCTAATAAGTAAATTTTATAAACAAATAAATAGCTGTGCTATGTCTTGTTCTATGTACTTAGGGGAATTTGAATACAAAGGAACAGGTAAGTGGCATCTTGAAAGCAAAAAGCTACAGTATGCTGAAGGAAGCTGTGTTTCAAGTGAGTTAGACAAGGAAAGCTTGAGAACAGTATCGATAATATGGAAGAGATTTCCACATTTATTGGCCGCCTTCTGTTGAAAGAAATATTTCTCCTTTTACAGAATAAAATCCAGCTTCCTCTCCCATAGCTGGGGAGAAAATGTCTGTGTGTATAGGCTTCAAAACGTTGGAGTGGCTCATGTGCAATGGTGAGATGTGTTTCTAAGAACTTTGATAGAGATCTTAGTTCCACTGAACTACCAGGAGCGGTTGTGGTTTTACAGTAGCCCACTGGCAAATATAACTTGGAGAAGAAAAGATACACATTGCAGGACAAGACAATGACACTTCTAGCTCATAACTGCACTTCAGTTCTTTCAGCTGGAAGAAATTTCTTCATGGTGCTTAAAAAATATTACTATGGGGCAGTATGCATGTTGCAATACATCTTACACTAATAAATATATTCAATACTTCATTGAACAGTTAGGGAAAAAATAATGTTATGGTGTATTTACAAAATTCATTATGATGGGAAGAAGGTCTTCTCATTACCTAAAATAAATTCAGTAAACTGTTAGCGTAGGAAAAAATAATCTCAAGAGAAATACCCGTGTAGAAGCTGGGAACACTAGACCTTCCGACTAGTGTTTCCTATAGACTAATTTGTCAGGAAGAAAGAAGGTAAGTTGTTCTTCTGTCTTAGACTTGATGCACTCAAAGTTCCACGAGAAGCACAGTTGTCCCAAAGATCCTTTGTGCAATCCCAGGTATATTAGTGACAGCCAGGGTCAGTCAATGTGTGGTCACTGCACTACACCAACCAGTCGTTCTCCCCCTTTCCTCTGGCAGTATCGCTCATATGAAATAGCAGATCTTATACCACTGGCAGACTGTGGTGTGGGTACCTCTGTTAGATGAATGTGAATATTCTGTGAAATCTGGTCTTGTAACAATACTAAAATTGCACCAAGCAAGCTGGAAATACCATGTGAGAATTACTGGAGGCAAGGACTTACTAGGAGGGTTGCTCTTGCACATAAATTTTTCATTTTTTTAACTTCAGGCATCTGGAAATGGGGGAGGGAGCTATATCAGAATAGGTACATGAGATTGAATGTATCCCTGCTTATGGAATTCAGCTTCAAATTTCTATATGGTTAGAATATGACAGGAAGTCTTAAATTTACATCTTCCAAAATCAACAATACCTCTTGAGCAGATGAATTTTAAGTAAAGGTAGAACTGTTTACAACTTTTGTTCAAATGTTAAAGCAAAAGATGTTTGGCAAGTAAGGTGTTCTCAGTGACGCTATATGCGTGCCTAACAATTTAGAGGCATTTTGCAAATACACACACATATATTTAATAGAAATGAAGAATGAGTGATGCATTCATATACACTGGCCATTGAACGTGAACTGCTTATCAGCAGCTAGGAAATTTCACAACAGATTCTCTCTATTATGAGCTCTGAGACCTGAGTATCAGGGGCAAATAAACCTATTTGCAGCAGCCATCCACAGCTATTTAAGTTCAAGTCATGAACTGCTTAACTGGTGAAGCAATCAAAGATACTGTCTCCAGGCTTAGCGGACAGGCTGTGGGCTGAATTCATATGGAGGCTTAATTCTGTGCCAGCAGAGCATGATCTTTTTAAATGAGGTCTGAAGGATAGCATAGAAGAATAGTGTGAAGAAAGTGTTGTCATTTTATAAATGACTGTTCTCTGGACTTGTTTGTACAGAGGTGTCTATCAATAATCAGTATTTCATCATGATAATCAATATGATTATCACAATATGATCACAATCAATATTCACCTATAACTGATAATCAGCCTTAACAACTAGGAACCTGTTTTTAAAGTCAGAGAGCTGCTGGCCTCAACACCTTTGGAAATAAGACCAGTAAGGGAAAATACTGTGCATTTTGCACACTGTTCTGTGTATTGTACAAAAGATACAGAGAGATGAATAGTTTTGAGGGGAATTATTTTCCTCTCTAAAGGCAGAAGAAAATAAATGCAACATGAATTAATTAGATCTCACAGGAATTAAAATGTTTTACTATTCAAATGCATGAAGATATCTAAACCATATCCTACTATGAATGGAACAACCTATTCCTTGCTTGTACAAATAGAACTGATTCCTTCCAACATATACAGATGAAGACTCTGGGCTACCATTACCTTTTCAAACTGTACTCTGCAACAATCTGCTTACCCAATGTTAAGCTTCATTGCTTAAGGATGAAGTGGGTAGGTGTAGTGGGTAGGTGTAGCCCTACTTCTGTACAGCCCTACTTCTTGTCTGCAGGTAGCTTTCATGCTGTTATAGCTGATACCGGTTTTATTCGGATGAAGGCTACTAGCTTAAAAAAAATTATACATGAATAAAGCTGCTTACACTTCTCTATTTCCCCAAATTTACAGGATTATGTTTTACTGTTTATAAATGCCATTGTATTAGTGGAATTAGATGACTGTATAATCACATAAATACGTAACTGTATGGTATAAAATCACTCTAATGAAAATTACTGAATTAGTACAAGACCATGCTGAGAGCAGGTTTTGTGGGGAGGAAAGAAAGGAGAGCTCTATGTATCTTGCACATGTCGAGGAAAGGCAATCACAAAGCATCGGAAGCACTGAAGAAGGGTAAAAGTTCATGGTTTGATCCTGAGGTACTGCAGCATAGTTCTACATCCACATCACGTACACAAAAAACACATTGTCTCCAGCTCTAACAGGTTTTACATCTGGGATGTTATTAGCTGCTTTCTGCCTGTGATTGCGATATAACTGGAGAGGTGCACAGGAGAAGTTATCGGTAGTGTTGCAGAGAGGCCAGGTTGAAAGTGCTGGGAAAGATGGTATCTTTTCTTAGATCCACTAGTAGCTGGGAAAAGAAGACAGACCTTGAAACACGGAAGTCCTCCTTCAGCTGTGAAACTCTGAAATACCAGATTTGAAAACTGGGGTGGGGAGGGGGGGAGTCTCTCTGAATATATTTTATGCCCATCATTGTGATCTTTGGAGAGAAAAATAAGAGAGTCTTAGATCACATGGGAAAGTTATTGAAGGATTGTTAATAACATAAGAGCAGGTGTATCAAAAACAAGCTAAAAAAATATACAAGATATAAATTACTAAACACATTGAGTAGTTTCCTGTCATTTTTCAAATAGTTCCCCTTCAAAAAAATACTCTGGTGTCCCTTGGGACTGCAGAGTCTTCTTCAGATGGGAGAATGGAAGCAGTTCCAATGGGCAGTGAAGAAGTCAAGGTTATTGCAGGAAGTGCAACCAGGAATGAACTTTAGGATTCTGACTGGAATATGGGGGACTCAGAAAGAAAACCAGTCTACAGGGGGTAGGAGAGTTGGAATAAGGTGTGATTGTCACAGTTCTCTGGACAAAGGGAAAGAACAAGCAACTTTAGCTTCAGGAGCAGAAGTTAAGACAGTAACGGTGATTCCCTAAGGATTAAATAGGCATCATTAAATACATCATGCTATTCCAAAAACTGTTTTTAATAAGAACTTTCAGAAAGGAAGGGAGGGCAATCAGGTAGAGAAAGAAATAGAGCATCTTAAACTGCTGATTTTTTTTTTAAGGTGTGAAGATGTTCTGCTTTTTTTTGTAAGGTGATACGTTACTTCACATAAAAATGATAGTGCTTTTATGCCAGACCAAGTAGAAAAATGCAGTGGAGGATGGTTTGCTCACCAGTAGTATATTCAGGTCATAGCACTTAAAATCTAATAAAATGTTGATAATATTTTCTAGAAAACCAACGAAGTCATTGATAGTTTAACTATTTGTTGAACATTTTTTGTGTGTGGATAACCAGTCAGTTCCCCCTTCAGTTTTTGCCAGAGTGATCATATCTTAGTAGTATAAGTGTAGGAATAAGACTGCTTTTTGCTAGCGAAATCATGTTTTACTGCACATAATCAATGAAATGCCTAAAAACACCTATAGGATACTGTGTTTGTGGTGCTATTTTCATGTTTTTTCCATATGGAAAAAAGGCTTATGTGATTATGCTGTATATATGTACTTGTTTGTCCTACTTAGCAACTTTTGAACGCAAATCTGACCATGACTCAGTAATTATAAATTCCTAGAATTATCAAGAAAATATGGGCAATGAGTAGAAGGGAAGGGCACCATGAGTCTCCTGGAGGGAAGGACAACAGATCAGCTCACTTCTAGATATCAGAAAATCTGCACAGAAAATTGCTCTCAAGACAAAAATCCAAAGGAATCCAGAGTTCATTGGTTCTACTGTTCACTTATTTTTAATCGCTCTAGTCAGTCCTTAGAATTATTTTCTTAAGCGGTTTGTATTGTATGAAATTTAAGCAATACATTTCACTGGGGCACTCCCTTGGCAGGTCTCGGAGTGCGTGAGGCTGTACAGGAAGTTTTCTGTAGTCTCTATAAATACCCAGTCAAACAGACAGTAATCTCTCTCTCTCTTCTTCAGATGTCTACTGCATGCCTTGGATACATGCTCCTAATCAGCTTACGAGCTTTCCTTGACCTACGCTTCTCTTCCTAATGCTGATCTGACTATGGCTGTCCTCAAAGTAAAATTCACCAAAACTAAGAGGGACAAATTGGCTCAGATCTTATGGATCCTCAACTGGGTTTCTGTAGTGAGCGGGATCATTCTCTTCAGTCTTGGCCTCTTTCTGAAAATAGAGATCAAGAAGCGCAACGAAGTGATGGCAAAAGGGGACGTTAACTCTGTCCCCAACATGCTGATCTCTGTAGGAGTCATAGCATGTATCATCAACTTTCTGGGTGGCAAAATCTGCTATGACTGCTCAGATGCCAACAAGTTCTCTCGATGGAAACTAGTTATGCTTCCATACATCATATGTACCTTCTGTTTTACCTTCTGCATCCTGGTGGGTGCTCTCATGTGCTATACCATGAGGAACGAGCTGGAAGAGTCTCTCTATCTGGGACTGAGGGATGCTATTAAGTTCTATAAGGACACAGACATACCTGGACGATGTTTCTTAAAGAAAACAGTGGACATGCTACAAATTGGATTCCAATGCTGTGGAAACAATGGCTTTAGAGACTGGTTTGAAATTCAGTGGGTATCTGCTCGTTATCTGAATATGGCTTCCAAGGAAGTTCTGGAGTAAGTATGTACTAGTCATTACAAAAAATCCTAGGAAAAAGCCTCATGCAAGAAGAATTTGTATTGAACAGAAAGTAAGTAACAGTAGCGTCAAAAGATCTTGAGATGCATTGGCATTAAAGAGAATATGGCAAAACTGCTTGTTCTCTGCCATCAGCCAAAAATTCTGGCAGTGTTTTTCCTCCTTATTAAAACAGCATCCTGTGGCTAGAAGGCTTCTCTCAAGGATCATTCTAAATAACTCTGGTAATGGGTCTAACTCAAGAAGAGATAACATTTCTTTGGTCATAGGCGTGTTCACAAATACCATCATATTTTAACTAATGTAGTAACCTTTAGTGGATAATGGTGGGAATAACACTTCGTCTAGACCATATGCTCCCTCTAAAAACAAAAAAAACCTGAAGTACCAAGCCAAAAAGCATCCTTCCGTTTATATTTATTCATTCTGGGGTTCTAGCATACACCTCACAAAGCCAAGTAGATACTAATTTCTGCTGGATCTTTGTCTCAATCAAAAAAACGTAGAATGACCGCGTTACTCACAAAATATGCTAACTACATGCACAACCGAAATTGCCTTTTGCTAACTTTTTAGGGATGCTAAGCAAAGCAAAGATGTGTCTTTCCTTTTTAATGTGTCAATTAGCTACCTCAAAATTTCAATGATAGTGAGCTGATGATGGAAAGAAAAAAGGATTGTATATCAATACATTGCACGGTCAGTCCTAAATGCTGAAAGATCTTTCTCCTTCAAGATATTAGACTTCACAAATCCAGGTTCAAGTCTATATGTTCACGTGTGAGAAACTGCCAACACCACATACACTGCGTAAAAAAGGAGAAAACACCTTGAAATTTGGGGGGTTTTTTTGGTGGTGCTTCACATGATATAGCAATTGTGAAGTTACATGCTCAAGAAGAGGAGTCTGGTAATTCTTAGAGACAATAGAAAAGGTAACAATAAAAATGTTTTAAAAGTAGACAATCTAATATGTAATAATTTTTCTAAAGCTGAAAAAAAGTCTCACTGACGAGAGCGAAGGAGCTATATATTCCTGGGAAAGACAAACACAAGAAGTTTGACTGGCATTTGTCCAGTGTTCTGCTTTGTTGAACTCAAAAATCAGTGACAATAAAGCCAGATGAAGGGAGGTCAAAGATCTTATTTTCACAGAATTTGCAACTTGAAACTGTCATTATAGCAAAGCATAGATACAGAGCTTCAAATATACCAGAGGACAGGACCTAGGAGAATACGGACAAGGGCATCAGCATGCGTAAGGCAGTTGGCTGTGGAAATAAAGCAAGCTTTAGAACAAGTGTTCTCGAGAGAGAAGTTGGAAAGCAACAGTGACACAAAGCAGACCAACCCACGAGGTGTTTTGAAGCCTGATTCTACACTGAAAAGTGGCATGACAACAAAGATGGTCCACAGGAACTTAAGAGTAGTATCTTATTGTGAGGACAAAAGTAAAATATACTGCCTTTTATTTCTGAGAGACATGCAGAAACAGTAATATTTTACGCAGGGTCTTAGCTAACCTTCGTTTTCTTCTGCAGGGTCACCTGCACCCTGCCATTATTTTGAAAATACACTGTCAGGTAAGTTTTGCCTCATGTAGGCAGAAGATGCCAATGAAATATCTGTGAGGAAAGTAATTACACTGCAGAATTTCTTTTACTATATGTAAGTTGGATAATTCCATCTTGGTTGCTAGAATCCAAGTTGGTGCTGTATAACCAAATTATACTATGATTTCCAAAAATCCGGTAGTGAAACATTTGATATGAAATCGTTAGAACCAAAGTCCAGCTGGTAATGTTCAGAAAGGATGGAGAAGGAACCAAATATTTTTCTTGGTTTCATCTTGTACTGTATGTCAATTAGTAGTTGGTAGATTAAGAGGCAAAGCTGTTGAGAACTGACATACTGTCAATTCACATGTAACCTTTGCAAAACTGAACTTTTCACCTTCCTTCATAGTCCTCTTCCCTCCCCTCTCTTCTATATCTCCATTGCCAGCACCACAATGTGACAAGAAATGGAGAGAATCAATGGGAACGGTAGGAGGCTGAGGCAGATTACAGCGGTACAATCCTATCATTGCTTTGGTTGGGTAAAAATCTTCTTTTTATAGTCTTGAAAGCACGTTTTGCTTTACAATACCACAACAACTCTGAATTGCAACAACAAAGAGCAGTGAATGTCTCACTCCCTCAGCTCTGTTACCAAGGTCTTCCCTCCTAACAGTACCAAGATACATCATTCTTTAATTTGCCGCTAGTAGAGGAAACAGAATGCAGGGGGACATAACCCAAGTCTGGAAACTGCTATTGTTGGCAGTAGAAAGAAGGTTCCTCTTTATAACATGTGACAGGAAGAAAAAAAAAAATTAAATTGATGCTTGGAATCAAAAGAAAAGCTTAAGACTTAGTTTAAGAGACTGTATTTTAACCATTTTAGATGCTGTACTATATTTGGGTCATGTCACTGAAATATACAGGGCATTTTGCTGGCCCAGGTAAAAGCTCCCCTTTCACAACGTGCCGGCCTTCCTCTCCTCCCTCTGTGAGGCTTCTTTTCGCCTCCCGCATTCAAGCCTTCCATTTTGTACCTCTCTGGCTCCCTTCCTTGTTTCCCTCCCAGGGAGTGGTTTTGCCTGTGCCTGTTACACTGCTTGCACACTTAAGTCTGATTTCAGTGGTTTAGGTTCTTTTGCATTGGTTTCATTCTGTTGTCGTTACCAGGAATATGATGGCCATAAAATGAAGAGCTAGACTTTAAAATGGAGAGGAATTCATGCCTAACCCCACCTAGCTGGGAAATGGCAGATGAACTTACTGATTTACTTGGAAAGATCTTTGAGGAAGATATTTTTGGCAGAATGTTGAGCAACACAACACACACCACCACCACCACCCAAAAAAAAAAAGAAAAAAAAAAAGGAAGGAGGTTGTATTTAGCTGGCCCACAGCAATAAAATGAAGGCAATTATTCTGCCATCCCAGCACAGCCACAAATACAGACTTTCGTAGCAGCTTATGTGTCTTTTGAAGGATACATTTAGTCCCAAAATGCCAAAAGAACACCGGACCGCAGAGTTTCCTGCTTCTTCTGTTCACCTGATGAGCTTCTTGTGATGACTTCCTTCCCTTTAATTTAGATCCTCTGTAGTGGAACAGGAAAATACGATTTGTAAACATTAATAAATGAGGATAAGTTTTGGAAAATATTAAAAATTCTACTGTTAGCAAATGGTGAAAGCTGGATATCTAAGAGAAAGTTGTCTTTCATGTATTCTGGCTCCCTAACAAAGGCTAAAGGGCATGGGCTTCATTAAAACAGGCCATGGTTCTCAGCTGTGGGGCTGTCTCAGGAAATAAGCCTTTTGCAATGAGCATGAAAATAGATGCTTACAGGCTATTTCCCCAAAGTGTGAGAGCATCTCTTAACATCTTACGTACTCTCCAATTTCTGGAAGGTCTCTCTCACTGCAGAGCCTGCTTGGAAACAGAAGTCCTCACAAGGACGCACTAGCTAAACAGCAGGTAATACAAGGAAAATGGATGTCAAGGATTCATTTAACTGTTCCAGAAACTCTTGATTAATCTGAGTTGGTGTTCTCCTTCCATCCTATGATTTTTTTCTCCCTCCTATTTCTTTATCTTTCCTCTTTTCCCACTTGTTTTTCTCCTGATCTTATTGGGGAGGGAAAGGAATAATTTTTAGCAATAAATACAAACGTTTTCAAAAGTTACAAAAAGTATAGTTACAAAAAGTATAGTTACAAGAAGTATAGTTACAAGAAGTAGAAACTCCCTTGTGAATTAGTCTCAAAACATGTGCCGAACCAGCCGCTGCACATAGGTACAATGATGAAATGCCAGCGGACAATTTCCAGTGGTTCCTGTGGCATGCAAAGTTGTTCTTGTATTAGGTTCTCTCTTATAGAATGTTTGTGTTGAAAATCAATCCAGTAGTGAAACACAGGATTTCTAGAGCCATAACTTCCATTAGAGGTCCACCAAGATAAACAAGTTCAGAAAGTGTCTTTAGTATTTTCAGTGCAAAGATACCTAAAAAGGCAACATCTCCGTGAACACTGAATCCACATCTTGCACGCACAGTACCAAGAACCACGTGAGATACTGTGCTGATACCACACTTAAGAAATACAGCAAATGAAAAATTTAGTTTTCCTGCGGTAAGCAACTTTTCCAGTTGGAAGTATATTCCCATTTTCCTCTTGTTACATTGGAGAGGCCTACATCGCAGCAGACTTGCATTATATCCTTTTATAAAAATCACAGATGTATCTGCTGCTGATACCAGATTTGTAATGCCCAAACTTTCCGTCCTCTCACAGCCGTCTAAAGAGCAACGTTGATGGAAAGTTCTTGGTGGATGGAGTACCCTTCAGCTGCTGCAACCCAAGCTCCCCTCGGCCCTGTATCCAGTACCAGCTGACAAACAACAGTGCTCACTACAACTACGATTTTCTGACAGAGGAGCTCAATATCTGGGTGAAGGGGTGCAGAGAGGCCCTGCTGGATTACTATACAGCTATTATGAGATCCATTGGTATTGCAGCATTGTTTATTTGGCTGTTTGAGGTAAGTCTTATAAAAATGGTTTGTGTCAGATTAATCAGAGACTTCCAGCTCTCTAGGGTGGGAAACAACTATGGTGTAGCATATGAGAAGTGCCTCAGTATCTAATATAAAGTCCACAATCACTTCAAGAATGTTGCAGAACTTCCTTTAGTACAGACAACTTTCTCAAAGTCCCCAGAGCAGAAGCAAATCTTACTGAAGGTAAGAACTATTAGAAATGATATATGTAATTCTGTATATTTACAGAGCTTTTTCAATAGACTATGGCTTATTCCCTTCCCTGAAGCATTTATGGGATCGATACAGGACGATACATGCAGTGACACAACTGCAAGGAAATTAGGTGAGAAGTCTGAGGATTGGTTTAAGTCAACAAAGAATATACAAAATGTGAGCAGGCCTTTGGCTGAATACGTTAATTTTATTTGTAGTAAAAATTGAGCGTAACTATTAATATCTCAAAGCCTCCCTTTGACATGACATAGCTTCACCATCTAGACAGTACTTGCAAACATGGCATACCTTTTTAGATGTAGATTAGACTGCTTATTATGCAGTCAAAATAAGTATATCACAGGGAAGCGTATACACCTGCAAAGATGTAGTCTTTCTGCTGGCATCTGTAAAGAAAGTTGCCTGGATGTTGTCAGCCGCAGGTAAAGGACCCCCCAATGACATAGGCTAAAATATGGTTTTCTTCCCTTTTTAAGAAGTTTTAGGTTTCTGATTATTGCTCTATTGCATAAATATTGCACTATAATTAAAATAGTTCACAACGGTCCTCAAGCAGTGCTAGAAGGGGTGCTGGTGCCAGAAACAACAGGCCTTTGGCAGCACATGAAAAAGCTGTGAGCCGGCTCTCTGTGCTCCCTTAAATGTTGACAAGCTGGGCACGCTGATCTCGATTCCAACAGAACTATGGAAGTGGGGCTTTTTCCTAAACTTATACTTGAGCCTCTGCTATAGGCCATCCTTCCTGATTTTAATGCATTAGCATGTAGGACACATATGGCTTACATATGAATAATTAAACTCCTTGGAGGAAATACCAACTTAATCAAGGTCAGTGGAAAAAAAATCACAGAAATTAACAGGCTACAATTTACATTTTTGGGTCAGTGGAAAAAAAATCCATAGAAATTAACAGGCTACAATTTACATTTTTTTTTACCCAGTGACTGATGGTTCCATTAATTGATCATCCATTCTACATCAATTAGTTGTAGTCTCTGCGGTTGCAGTGCTCTCAAGTAATTCTACGTATTTGTGTGCTAATAACATGCAAGTGGGAGGTTGCAGTGCTCTCAAGTAATTCTACTTGTATTTGTGTGCTAATAACATGCAAGTGGGAATGCTAACCTGAAGAATGGAGAAAGAATCAATCAATCTCTCCCTGGTATTTTTCTTTCTAAAAAATGTAATTAATTGGGAGAGTGGTTAGATATATTGCTGGGATAAAGAATTTGTCTGCTTTACTCAATATTAATTATTAGGCCTGTAAATACACAAGTCAGAAAGCTGACTTAGTGGTAGGATTGAGGCTGTAATTTAAACTCTCTGTTTAACCATTAACTGTTTCTTACAGCTCTCTGTACTTATTGGTGTCCGGTACCTACAAACAGCAATGAAGAATGTCCTTCTGCTAGGAGATTTGGAGGGTGAATCAGATGGTTGGTTACTAGAAAACAGCTTTGTGGAAACTGCCAAATACAACATCAATATCATTAAGAACCTCGGCAAAGCCAATCAGATCTCCACTGTCTCAGGCATGAACGACCCCAACATTGATGTTCAAAACACAAACTGTGGCAAAACCAATGTTACAACAAAACCTATCCCCACAGCTAGCTAGGCATGTCTTCAAAGAAATGACATCACAAGTGTAGCTTTGACATATTACAATCTTACCAGATTTTTCACTGGTGGGGAAAAAAAGGTAGGAAAACTAATAAGACAATTGAACAAACCTCAGACTGGCAACAGCTCTAAAAATGCTGATACTTCTCTGGCTGGATTTTTACTCATTCTTGTGAAATCCCTGATTTTCAACACTACACAAAACAAACTTAGAGAATTTTCCCCCACTTTCTCTCCCTTGCTTACATGCTTCTGTCATGGTCTGAATATGTCAGAATAATCATTATGCATGAGCAAATGTTCCAGATAGGATGGATCTACATCTACTAACATACAGATTGGTCTACTATGTACCAAGAAAGTTTGTCATTACTGTCATTACATCTATAGAAATCCCAGCAGCAGGGAAATCCCAAAATAAATTATTACACTGGATAAAAAGATTCTTTAAAAAAAAGACAAAAACTGAAATGAAAACTCTGTTAGTCCAAGTTTGGATAGGGGAAATTTTAGCCCAATTATACGTATATTGCAGCCCTTCTAAAAGAACCTACTAGCTAGGTGAAATTGAGTTGAAGGCAATGAAAGTTAGCATAACATATTTAACTTTTTTTTTCCCAAAATACTCTGAAGTATCTCTTCATTTTTCCCCCTCCATAGTTTAGAGAAATCCAGCTGCCATACCTCCCTGAAAGTCAATGGGTACTGCTGAAAGGAGTTCTCTGCTGAAGAAAACTAATTGACAGCTCATGCCGGGATATTTAAAATTCCAAGTAGGATGCGATAGCACAAATTTAAAAACAAGCAAATACTTCCCATAAAACAAATACTGATGATCCTAGATGTTTTAAAGCTCCTAATTTCAAAAGTACTTACATAGATCCAGGGGCTGGAAGATAAGGGATTATTTGGAACCAGTGAAGGCAAAGATAGACTGACAGATCTCCCACCACGCTCTTGGTACAGCGCTCAGGAACTTTGTGAATGCATGGAGTGAAAGGCTTCTACACCCAAGACATTGTAGTTACAGGATGCCCTATGACTGTAATTCATCATTAATAGTAAGTGGGAAAAACATACCGATACAGAATAAACGACCAAATAAAGTATTTCACTTGTTACTGTTGTGAATAATACATTGTTTGAATATAACTTTGGACAGCTTGTGCATTCTTTGTGTATAATCGAGTAAAAGAAGTTGTATCACTGGGATATTCAGAGCAGAACTATTCCTGCTTTTGAAACTGTGCGAAAGTAACAGTAAAAATTCCTTTACCTGTCTAAACAATGTTGTTTTCTATAACACTAGAATAAGCAAGAATTATACTATAAGAATATATTGTAAATAAAGTGTGTGATGTACAAATCTGTACTGTAATTCAAGCAGGCGATATGCATGATCATAATTTCAAATGCAATTGCTTCACTGCTTAAAATTTTAGGCCTATGGTTAAGTATGTTAAAAAGAAAAATGGACAGATGGGGTCTGTCTGCCATAGTAGCCTGCAGCAGATGTTTTGCAAAAGGCACATAAGAGGCAAGACCATTAGAAAATGGTTCTCTCCCTGACAAAGCCTCCGAACTCCCAGGAAACAGCAGTTTGGGACTTGGTGTGACAAAGAGGGTATTTGTATCACTGTGTTTTAATAAATCTCAGTGGACATTTTTTTTCCTATGAATTTGCATAGTATTTTTTTAAACCCATTCATGTTTTTGATATCCGAAACACTTACAACAATGAGCTTCAGATTTTAGTTTCTCTCAATTCAATTCTGCATTGTTTGAAAAACTGCTTCTCTTTGCTTGTTGACTCCCTGACAACTTAATCAGGTATCCCCTAATTCTTGCTGTAAGACGTAGCTGATGGTCATTCCTTATTTATTCCCTCCACGTCATTCCCGATTTTACAATCCTCTATTTTAATCTCTCTTGGCCCTATCTTTCCAAGTTGAAGAAGTTGCTATTTAACCTTTTCTTCTATGGAAGTTGTTTCACAGCTTTGATAATTTTCATCACTCTTCTCCATTTATTATTTTTAAATGAACAACACTGTATAGAGCTGAAGATATCATGAACTAAATAGGTCTTCTGTCCTTTTCTTTTCCTAAGAATTCCTATCATTTCTTGCCCTTTTGACTGTTTCTGAGCATTGAGATAACATTTTCACAGAACTATCTATAAAAATACTAAGAAAATCCTTGATATGAATATACCTGGGGGTGCTGGTCGACAGCCGGCTCAATACGAGTCAGCAGTGTGCCCTGGCAGCCAAGAGGGCAAACCGCACCCTGGGGGGAATCAAACAGCTTAACCAGCCGGTCAAC